TTAAACCCAACTTTCTTAAACCCAACTTTCTTAAACCCAACTTTCTTAAACCCAACCTTCTGAAACCCAACTTCTCCAAACCAAGCTTCTCCAGACCGACTTCAGTCAGATCAATTTGCATTATCACAACCTTAAGTATTGACAGAAGACCATACCCTCCCGTCGTAATAAGTGCGGTCTATTTCCTTGACTCTTTTGTCGCGCTGTTCAGGTTTTTCTTTCCCGTTGGCGCTCTCTTAGCTCTTTCACCCCTCCAAAGTATAACTACCCGTCTCTTAGCTACAGCAGCCACGCCGATACAGCGGGTCATGAAAACAACATGTTGGCTTCCTGGCAACGCTCTGCAAGACGATGGGTACACCATGCAATAGCTGTTAAAAGTAAGCCCTTCGAGTATCTATTTTCTACATTGTCATCCGAAACTTCGAGCAGCACGGTTGCATAGTTTTCAGCCCGAAGGTATGATGTAGTGCCTAATGTGGGTTGCTAGCCAGATCACATGCCCCTCCCATATCATTAAACCCCACCTTGAAATTCTCAGTGTCACCATCAAGTCATCATCAATTTATCACACCATCCACTTGGTATATTTTTCTCCATGCGACGCAAGGCGCCGCCTACAAGCACCCTGCAAATTGCAACTTCTCGGGAGTCTATTCACAGCTCTCAAAGCTGTAGCAATCTCAACGCCACCAATCTGCCTTCAAGGTAAAGCCACCCAGCGCCTCCAAAGTCCCTTCCGACTGACATTAAGACTGATGTTAAACTACAGCAGGCTTTATATCCTCATAAACCATACCTTTTCAGACTGTTATGACAACTAGGAAAGATTTATTGGTATGGCATCTCCAAGCGGACCGGACATACAGTACTAATCTAATACCGCCAGGCATCACGATGGGAAACGCTCCCTGCAGACGACGATCGATTGAAGAATCTCACCGAATATGTATCGCTCGAGTCGATCGAAGCGGCGACCGTTGATCGGGAACTCCTTTGCAGAGATTGCGAAGAAGTGGTATTTTTCGAAGCGGATCGCGAAGTTTGGAATACCAAGGAAAGTAACGGCTTGATGAAGGTCCCGGCGGGCATTTCAGCGACAATATACAAAGGCTATTACTCCGTCAATTAAACAACAGTTTCGCTATGGTTGTGTCATAGCCTATTCGAAGCTCCACGTGACATAATACCTTCACCTTCACGCATTCTGTTGTATTCATACGTCCATTTCTCTTTTCCCACCCTCGCAAGTCACTTTCGTCAATAGCTTTCGAAATAGTATCTCCAAAGACCGCACGAACTTGGTCTGTCCTAATGCCCGATTCGGAGTTATGCAGCAATGGCAGCGTTCCAACAGACCCGATATCCAACCAGATGATTGCATCGCCATCACTCCGGCCCCTAGGGAATCTTGATCGCACACAATCTGTTATTTCTGGATCTAATATACGCTGGGGCGCGTGGCGGATAGCGTCTGCAGCTTGTACTGGAAACACTTTTTCAATATTCTTCCACCGCGCCGTGGGGAATTCAAAGGCGCCAGGCTGTTTAGCCATTGTGTCAGGTTCGGGATCTAGTAAAGTCTCTAAGGGAGTAGTCAGTTAGGGCAAGCAGTGCTTCTGTGTAAGGGCAATCACAATCCGTACCATCATCCATCTGCTCATCCAATTGCATGGAGCCTTTCTGCAACGACTCTTTGTGTAATGCATAGACAGACGAGTAGATCTCCTGGAATGGTTTCCCCTCAGATTCAGCGGATAAGCGCTTTAGTCGTGTGAAGATTTCTGGCCGATCGAGGCATGAGATGCGTGTTGTTGTCATATACGTCCGGATATTCGCCGCTTTGAAATGGTGAATCACGGATTTGAGGCGTCTGTCTTCAAAACTGATAGAGCAGAAAGCTAACTCGTTCAAATTCAGCTTACGGATCTCCAGGTCGAAATTACTACCAGCGGCACTTTTATTGACATAATGCATGAACACATTACACTTCGATAGAGTATTGGACTCCAATGAACGGGAACGTGTTGCCGCAAGACGGGCTTTAGCGTGCTCGAGCCCTTCAACGATCCTTATCTGTGCGTTAAGTGTCTTTAATTCGTTCTTCACATGGGTGAACGATTCCGGATGATTGTAGAGGTCAAAATCATAAATCATATTGGCGATAAGGCCTGGGAAAACCACAACAAAAGGATGAGTGTTTTGGTAATGTGTTGGGTCGGAAAATGTTGGTCTGGGAAAGCTGGGTCTGAAACAGTTGGGTCTTTAAAAGTTGGGTTTTAAAAAGTTGGGTTTTAAAAAGTTGGGTTTTAAAAAGTTGGGTCGTAAAAAGTTGGGTCGTAAAAAGTTGGCCCCCCGTCGCGTGCCACGTCACCTCCATGCAGGTGGACGGTTTCAGACTAGGAGGTCTGCTATTGTTAGTAGATCGACGCCAAGGTTACCATGTTGACAGAAGCTACTGGTACGATGTATGGAGCTTTCCCTCACAATAACATGACGACATGATGTATTCGAGTTGCCATTAAAGGCAGCCCTCACGTGTCGGGAAGCTTCTTTGACCCAGATTACTCATTAATTCCAAGGTAGTTCGGAACGCTTGTGAAGATTGAAGTAACTACCCCATTCGCATGATTAAAAATCCAAGTATTCTACTTTCCACTACAACATCACTACAGAAACTTCCAAGAACGACTAGTTCAATAATGGCACAGTTCCGGTTTCTACCAATGATAGCGTCTTGGTACCGTCTTACTATTGATTTGTCTTAATTCGGGATCTGTAACTGGTGCTGTGAGGCCTTTGTGGACTAATCATATCTAAGCTTGACATGCTTCCGCGGTCACCCTAGGGTGCAAGCGTAATCTCACTAGGTTCTTTGACTTTGTCCGTGATACTAAACATCCTACCTCCTGCGCGCAAGAGCACTTGTATCTTTGATAAATTACCGCTAAGTGCTGCAGGAGATATCACAAAAAGTGCGGTTCTCTGCTTTCCACTCGCGACTCACCTGCTTCTTACACCATAATGCAAATGTAGGCGAAATGCTTCATCTCTCAGATATATAAGAGCATATATTTGCCCTCGAAGTTGATTTATATACACTACAATCGTGGCTTTTTTTTCCTGCTGATTATTATCTGCGATAAATTCAAACTCAATACCGTGCCCTTTATCGTTCTACTTCTACATTGTTTGGCAATGTCGCGCCGAGCATGGAACAGTGTGGTGGAGGCGATCACTGGTCGGGGCTCCAAGATCTGGGAGAAACTTGCTAGACCGACAGTCGGGAGAGGCAAAACTCAATGGCCGAAATCCGCAAGTGATTTGGAAAACCACGGTGTCCGTTTTGACTATGATGGTACCATTGAAGAGAATGGACTTGTGTACCACAAGTTCCAGGTGCAGGCCAATGCCGGAAAGATTCCCAGTTCGTGGAAAGACTGGAGGGATAAGCATGGGGGGACTCATGCCGTCATTGGGACCGTTAAAATCAAGCAAGATGCAACAAAGGACGATGTTGATGAGGCACTCAAGTCACTTGAGGAACAGCTTTAATCAGAGTGTGAGTCATCAACGTTTCAAGCTTAACCGAGTAGAAGTTAATTCTCGTCCCTAGATTCTTGTACTTTTACAGAATATCATCCCTTATTATCCTCGCCATTGTCGGAGATTTAGGATTTGGCAACTTGTGGGGTCCCGACTGAAAACGGGATCCGAGAATTTTGATGTGGGGTTGGTATGATTGGTATCTGAATGTATCCACTCTTTGGCATAGCCTTCTCACTACTTTTGGGATTATGTGAGTTCTTTTATTTCTCAGTGTAACGATACATCATGCGTAAAACATGGAGACAAAACGGCTCGAGGCCGACAAGAGGCTTAGATCGCCAGCGTCGGCTGGCCCACATTCCGTGATCCATCATATCGAGAAAAGACGGAAATACTTTCTTCCGTCAGGGATAGATCTCCCTTAAATTATCCCGTGGAACGGACCTTCAAGGTAAATCATTCAAATAAGCGCAACATTCCTTTCTAATGCTCCTTTCTTTATCTGAGTTTCTTGTCTTCTTTGCAGTAGCATGATGAAAAACTATTCTATCAAGACACGAAAGCTTTTCGGCTCTTTACGGCCTCGAACTTTCCGCTTTCACAAGCTTGGGAATCCACAGCATGCGAAAGCGTCGACAAAATGTGTGCAACTATCAGACATCGCTCTTCATAATGAACTTTTCCGGTACACCTCTGGGAGATGGATGTAAGTGCTTATGACACTATGACTTTCTTCTAAGGCTGACTTTTCGAAGCTTCAACGAACATCTCCGCCTTGCAGAACGATTCCTTGAGTTTGATGTGTCCGCCCTTCAAAACGTTATTTCTGCTGCATCTCGCCATTCGATATCCGATCTCAGAACCTTTACAAAACTATCAGAAGGCGGATTCAACCGCATTTTTGAGGCCACTTTCAGCGATGGGAAATGTATTATTGCGCGACTTCCATACCCAAGCACAGTACCAGAACACTATACTGTAGCGAGTGAAGTGGCGACTTTAGACTATCTTCGTCTGCATGGTATTCCCACACCAGAGGTGTATGCGTGGTGTTCGACGAAGGCGAATCCTGTTGGAACAGAGTATATTATTATGGAAAAGTTGGTTGGTATCCCACTCGGCGATAAATGGTTCACATTGACGCCAAAGGAACAACACAAGGTCATGAAACAGATAATCGAATGGGAGACGCGATTGATGTCACTGCAGTTTCCTGCGTCTGGAAGTCTTTACTATACTAAAGACCTTTCATCTGAGAGGAGGGTACAACTCGCTGAACCCAACGGTATGGCGTTCTGCATAGGACCGACAGCTCACTATAGCTGGTGGCATGACAAAAGGGATCTATTGAATATCGATCGAGGTCCTTGTGAGTGGACTCCCTTTGAGGATTGTATTGTCGACATTGCTAACTACGAAAGGGCTGTCATCAATGGGGGTTTTCCGAGCAGCTGGCGAACGTGAACTGGCCTGGACTAAAGCCTATGCAAAACCTCGCTTGCCCTATGACCGGCTCTATAGGGAAATCTATCATTTTAAGCATGTCTCACCTGATAGCCACCTCACAGACCTCTCCAACTATCTTAAAATGATACCCTGCTTAGGGTATGCAAGCGACTCAACTTTGAATCGACCTGTCATGCGCCACCCAGACCTTCAGCCAAACAATATCCTCGTTTCCGATTCAAATGAGATAGTTGGACTTATAGATTGGCAGCATTGTTCTATTCTTCCTCTCGGTATTGCTGCTGGAATACCAACTCACTTCCAGAATTATGGTGATCCCGAATCGGAGATGCTGAAACAGCCTCAGCTTGCTCTACCTCCAGATTACGATTCTTTGCCTCCATCCGAGCAAGCATCGTTACTAGAGACTCGGCGCAAAAGAATGGTACATTTTCTGTATGCCGCTTTCACTAAAAGACTAAATAAAGAGCATTATGATGCCATCTTCGATCAGTCTGTTATCCTCCGCCAACGGCTATTCAAGAATGCTGGTACGCCCTGGGAGGGAGACTCGATATCTCTGCGAGCAGAACTCATTCGCTCTATACAGAATTGGCCGACAATTGCTCAGACCACCGATGCAGATCAAACTAGGAGTGTTTATCCGGTCGCTCCAGTGGGCTATTCAGAGGACATTGTCCGGGAAACCCTTGACTTAGATGCTCGTCAAAGAGAAGCTGATATCACGATAGAAGAAATGCGATCTGTCTTGGGTATCGATATTTTGGGTTGGGTTCCAAATGATGATTACGATGCTGTGAAAGGAGTAGCCTATGATATGAAGACCAAAATGCTTGAAGCAGCTGAGACTCCAGAAGATATTATCGGTGTCCGGGATCATTTTCCTTTTGATGATTTCGATGAAGGCGCCTGAGGCATTTCTCGAATTGTTTGATTATTTTTGTCTATTTATCGACAATACTATTGTTCTGGGCGGATAACGCTATCTACATGAGGGCGGCTGGACACTCCATTGGAAGAAGCAGTTGTGTGATCGTGCGCAAAGGGCCTGTTTTGATCATTGTTCACAGAAATGGATTTACCATGCTCAACGTGCTGTGCTGCCACGTCGCGAAGTGCGGTTTCAGGCTTGGGGTAAAGGAGAATGTAGGCATGGAAGTACATGGAAATTAGAGGTTTTAGAGGCAATGGATGCTTCATGAAGATCGGGGCACGTGAGCCAGGGAAATTGCAGGGTAAAGGAGAGGGAGTGAACAGGCCATTGAAAGAATTCTGGCGATCCATCCTGGAAAATGAGCAAATTGGGAAGCAAGCAAAGACTACTGACAAACGTTTGAGGAAATTGATTATGCTGCCTGCGTAGCTGTGTAAAAAATTCTTGAGATGGACCAGGATATTTGTAGCCAGCAGATTAGGGACCGACTGAAGGTCCAAGACCCATAATTGGGGCTTCAACGGAGTACTACGCCTCCTAAAGCCGGATGGCCATGGAGTAAGCCCGTCCCTGTACTCGTGCTCATGCGCCTCACGCGCCATGGGTCTTGGAAATGGATGCAATCGACCATCCCACGGAGCTTGCCTGGGGTCACGTACCAATTAGGTAGTCGGTTAAATAGATGTTCCGCACCACATGATTAGGGTAGCCAATGATAGTTAAACAGGGTCGAGCTTTCGTTGGCCAATGTAATGTTTTTGGAGAAAAGGACACGTTCAGCTTCACAAGGTTAAGGCGGGGCCTCTGGGTGCGATCCACTGGGGTTCGGGTGGCAAAGGTGAGCTTCGGGTGAAGGATGAACAAGGTGAAGAGAAAGCGGCAAGGGCACTAAACCCAATGAATCGAGAAAGGGCCGGTGAGCAAAACATACAACCAAAGGCTATCTGGATAGATTTCTCAGTCTCCCGAGACTCTATAAATGTAGGATACTAGTAAATCCCTACACACTACAGCCTTGGTGTCCGAAAGAGGGTCTTGCCCGAGTTGGACTAGGGATGTTTGACCATCCCGTAACCTCCCGGCGGTTCAGAGTGTTGTATGACTGCGCGGGTTGTGTATAGCCTCAAGATGTCCTACTATGGTAGTGGAAGGGACATATTGGGAGATGGCTATGTTGATATTCATCTATTAGTTGTAGTTCTCGTACTATCACCATTCGTCATTCACCCCGTGGCTTCCAGGCCAGGTGTTGGTGACTGTCCGCTGCTGTCGCTGTCCCGGTATTCACTTTGTCGCTTCCTGTTTAGGAGACTGGTGTTGACCCTGCCTCTTATTATAAGTCTCCAGCGGTCCCCCCTCCCCCCTTTCCTTGAGTCTTCCAAGCCTCTCCTCCACCTCCTCTGTGACCTCCGCTTGCTTGCCTGCCTCCCGTCCTGCGTGCGTGCCTGTCTCTGCGCCTCCTATTTTCCTGTCCGCCTGCCTGTTGGTTCACCTGCCCTGCCTTCCCCGCCGCGATGGCTCCTCGCGAGGTCAGCTTCCACCGGGAGCTTGCGGTGTTGCTCCAGCGCTTTGGCTTGACTCGCAGCCCGTCCGTCAACGCCATTAACAGTCTTCCTGCCGGCCGCCTCCACATTTTGCGCGTCCTCCTCTCCTCTCTTCTCCGTGACAGTCCCTCGCGTGAGTATCGGATTGCGAATGCCACCCTCCTCGAAATCTCCGACCTCAATGATCGCTTGCTACGGCGCCTCCATGAGGCCAATTTCCGTGCCCTTTGCAATGCCTTTGCTCTGCCAGCCAATGCCAATCCTATCCATTTGGCTGCCCTAGACATCGTCTCCCTCGAATTGTTTCACGATAGCATCACCGCCCTCCAGACTGCGGCCAACCATGACCGTCGCGTCCTGTCCCCTGCCTTCCCCGCCGAGCTGCAGCGCCTCTGGGAGGCCAGTCAGAACTTGCTCGACGCCCACGATAGCGAGATCGCTCCTCCTTCCTGTAAGTCTGTCCACCGTCCAGGGAAGCTAGCTCTGACTTCTGGGGATTGGAGTCTAGGATGACACTTCCTGCCTCTTGCCAGCCCGCGCGTTTTTCGTTGTTGCTCCTCCGTTAGTTTGGGCTCTCTGGGGTGAGCCGTACTTATTTGGGCTGGGTATCAGGAGCTGGTAGTTTATCTTCAATAAAATCAGGTTTATTAACTAGGATATGCATCGTTAAAGGCTACTATCTGTAGACCAACTATAGGGATCCAGAAACCATGAGGTCCTACCTTATCTTGTAGTTGGATTAGGTCTTCAACGATATCCACTTCTGCCTTGACAGCTTCTAAATCATTGGAAGAGGCACTACTCATAGCATTAGCCGAGTCCAGACCCTGTTCTTATAATGTCTCACACGCACCAATGAGTATCCATGAATCCAGGCCCTTTCTTATCGGCATCTCCGCAGTCTTCCAAATCAAGATTTGGCCTTGTGGCGTAATTTAGTCGAGTAGTGGACTTGAAGGGATGACACATTCCGGTCAGGGAAATGGTCTGCGATCTCAGACCATGACATCGCCTCCCTTTCTTTCAGCCGGACCAACAGCGCATTCTCATCTGACGTGTACGGTCTTTGTTTTCCTGAAATTCCTGTCGAAGGGGGCTGGTGCACTGTCGAACTCGTGTCAGGCACAAAGGTAAAAAAATACGCTGTCTTCAGGCCAGAATCCGATGCAACTGTGAGAAGAGCTTTTCCGCGGATTTCATGAAAATCACGGGTACAATGGCACGAAGCGGGAAATGAAAGGTCCAGAGGATGAGAAAGATGCCTGGAAGCAAGCGTCCGCTTCTTCACCTTCAGACTCGGACCTTCAGTGCGAAGGAAAGACGCATCCGGAACCTTGTGGTTACTGCCTCCTTGATCTGAGCGAAGTCGCTTATTGCACGCTGCCGCAGCGGCCCTTGTGCTTGCCCTGGTGGCTCTTCCTTGCTTCCATGAAGGTGCTGGTACAACCACAGCTATTGACGGATAGCGTACTGGGCCGTTAGAAATTGGCGTTGTTCTAGCACCAGAATGTTCCGGACTTGAGCACTGGAACGACCTAGGAAATGGGCTAAATGCAGTTGACATGGCTTCGGTGCTACTGGAACTTCCAGCCCGGCCCGGAGCATCGATTTTCCGAGAGCATGGAACTTCACTGAGCTCAGGTGTATGGCACGAGTTCGTATCCTCTTCGCAGGGTACAGAGCTGATATACTTTGAGGAAGCCCCTATGATTAGCGAGTTTCCCGAGGCTGACTCTTGCTGGGAATCACCAGTCGTGGATAGGCCGCTAGAAACATTGTCCGCTTGTTTGGATGTGGGCGCGGTGACACAGGGAGCGTATGAAATGCGAGGAGTCTCCGCTGCTTTGCTATGAGGCATGGAATCTAGAATATGTCAGACAAAGAAAGGTTGATTTCCAACAGTATCAAGTATTATACCAACTTACTTGGTAACTCATTCTCCTGCACATCGAGAGAATCAAGCTCCAATTGGACTGCGGGGCATGATACTGGTATCGCAGAGGAGTCTTTGAATGGCGCTGGCTCGGATGAAGCCAAGCGAGAGCCTCCATTATCCAATCGAGTATCAAGAGTGGCTGGAATGATTGGTGCCACAGCGGTTCCGATATCTTTCGTCATTTGATGCTCAGTGACGCTATAAATCCTATCGATCTCAAAATCAAATGTATTCGATAGATAAGTTGTACGGGTAGATGGCAGTCCCTGTTCTGGAGGTGCCTGAGACGATGCTGGGATCATCTCTGTGGGAGAGAAATGCTGGAAAGTTCGTGGAATATGAACTGGTGGTGACTTCCTTCGACCGATGGAAGGCGGCTGGCTTGGACCACGGTAGAACTCGATTTGATCAAGATTCACCCTCATTTTTTAAAGTGCAGACAAGTCACGGAGATAGTAATCCTTGGTAGATAAAGCCGCCGTAGGTTGAAGTCAAACAGTAGTAAAATCAGTTGCAATGATACCCATCCGTCGCTAGCAATACAAACGAAATGAAAGAAACTGAAAGCAGTAGCTCAAGGAGCCCTTTATAGGGTCGAAATGCTACCTGAGTATCATGGGGTGGGGAACAAGCAGTGGAGCGCCTGGTAGGCTTCATACTACCGGAGGCCTGTGTCTTCTGTGCCTTGTTGGATCCGGCCCTCACTTGTATCGGGTGCAAATGCGGGAATGCGTCCAATAGTTGACCGAACCGCTTCAAAGAGGGCTTCGGGCTTGCAGTGCCCACCTTGAAAAGGCCGTCTTTCCGGAAATGTAACGTGCATCCTTCGAAATAGGAAATCCTCTACGCCAGGGGTAGCCTGCTGTTTGCAGGCCACACAAGCCACTGGGTCCATGGCTAGTCAAGATGTTTCCGCTCAGCCTCGGAGCTCCTTGAGGCATTTTTGCGATTGGCCTGTGAGTCAGAAGCAGACCTAGCAAGCAAGTGACTGCACCGGTTGGCGGATATGTTCGGTCGACTGTCGGCTGGGCTAGAGAAGTGACGCGAGATCAGGAGTGCTGTGTTGCATTGGCGATAAGACTAAAGCAGAGGCTAAGGTAATGAGTCCCACATTGCCAGTCACCTGCCCAAACTGTGCACAGCCTTCTATTCGCCTCACATGAGGAAGGCCGAGGATACAGACCCGAGAATAGGGGGAACATTTTGTACCCTGATGTAGTCAGGGCTGCCGGTATCCCGTTCAACAGTTAACAAACAACGAGAAACTCCCTAAAGAACAGAACCAAGTATATCTGCTTGTAACAGCTTCAAGCCATCTGTACAGTAAAAAGGAAACACCAAGCAAAATATGTAGCACAGGAAACCAAGGATGATCCATGCCATTTGCGACACACCTGGGCGTGGTCTGGTTATGTGAGTGGAGAAGCAGGCTGTGCTACAGCCGCATAATTTTTCAGCTGGCTCGGGGGGGCGAGCAGAGAGGCCACGTCAGCCGATCTCAGAAAAACTTCGGAGGCGAAATTAGAAGGGAGGAGAGTATTGGGAGGAAGAGAACTATTGTTGAGCGACGCACCGCAGCTTTATATACATGGCAGACGTTGTCAGGCGGGCGGTGGAAGACGGCATATCCCGATCAGGGTTAGCGGAATAAGCCAAACCCGGTACGGACGGGCTAAACCATACATGGCTGGCGCGATCCCGGATCTGGCGCCGGCCACACGGACGCTAAACCCGAAGAAGGGGGCAGCCGAAACCGGCAGCGGGCCAGCAAATCGCAATTCTACTATTTATAATATAAAATAATTTAATTTTATTTATCTAAGATTGTGTAAGAGGTGTATATATAATATATAATTATATATTTTTAATATATTTAATAATAATAAACTAATAATATGATTTCTTTTCTAAATATTATAGATTCTATTAAAAATTATTTAAATTATATAATTAATTAAAATACTCTTATAGCCTCTAAGATATCTATAAGGAAGTAAGCTATATTCTTTTACTATTTATATAATATATATAGTAATAATTAATTCTAGTAATTTTTTAAGAGTATTAAGTAGCACTACCGGCCTATATAATTTAGATAGATAGAAATTATAAGATTCTTTCTTATAAAGGACTACTGTGATTAATTTTTAGAAATATTTAAAATTATATTTTATATATATATAAGTATTAAAGATTATAATAAATATATTAATAAATATTTTTTTATTAGCTAGTATATACTACACGTAGTTAGGAACAGTATTAATACTAAATATTTTATTTATAAGAATATGTTTAATAATATCCTATATCTTTTATTTTATTATTAAAAAAAATTCTAGGGCCTTTAGTTTCTTAGCTATATTAATATTAAATAAATTAATCTCTAGAGGCTCTAGAAAGAAAGTTTATTAAAAAATCTTTATTTTCTACTTTATAATCTCTATATCACTATTCAGATCTTTAAGAATCAGAATAATCTTATTATTTCTATTTTTATTTCTAGTTTATTATAATATTTACTATACTTTATGGGGTTTTTTCTCTATAATTTTATATATAATATCTTAGTAAATATTTTGCAAGATATATTTAATAATTTTTATTTTTTTATTTTTTATTATTATATATTTCTTCTATTTTTTTTCTATTTATTTATTTATATATATATGTCTTGCTTTTCTTATTATCTTTATTATTTTATAATATTTTAAAATAAATCTAAAATTAGTTTATTTACTAGAATTAATCCATAGGGTTAACTCTATAATAATATATTATACTATTTCTATGAAATAATCTATAATAGTATTAATTTATTTTAGAATAGAATTCTCTAAATAATTCTATAGATCTTCTTTAAGGTTTATCTTTATAAATTTATATATTTTCTTTATATTTATAGTTTTTTAATTCTTTTTCGGTGTTAACTTCGCTAATAGTATATCTAAATTAATAATTATAGCTATTAAAAAATAGTTAAAATTAATATATATAATAGATATAATCTTATATATAATTAAACAGCTTATTAGCTTGGAGATATTAAAGATTAGATTAATTATAGTTTAGTAGTTTGAGACGGCCGTTCAACACAGCAAAATGAGGTCGTATTAGTGCTAACTACTCTAGAACTTTAAGCGTAAGGAGGAAAAAAGAAAAACAAGAAGTATTATAAGCGCTCACTTAAAGAAAACAATATTAAAGTAAATGAAATAAATATAATCATATAATCCTAAATAAGGTTGCTATCATATTATCCCCCTATTTAAATCTAACTATCTCTAATCAAGGGAATATTATTATTATCATAATCTGTAATGAATTTATTATTCTCCGCGGCTATAATCTATATAGAGAGTTATTTAGATAGTCCAGGACAGTCTGGATAATAGGTATAAAAGTTATATAAATAAAAAAATATATTTTTAAAATTACTAATGGGATACCACTCGTGGTTATTTTTATTAGAATCTATCTATTTAATACGGTACTGTAGGATTCCTATCTATAAATAATTTTCTAAGATTTATTCTACTTCTTACTCAGTATAATTATTAACTTTAATTAAGAAAGCTTAATTTAAGATCTATCTAGATAACAGCTCTAAAGTACCGCGAAAGTAAAATTTATCAAGATAAAAAATAAAATAAATCTTTATATTATTAAATAATTAAACTCAGAATATGTAACTAATTTTCTCAGTAATAATTACTAAACTATATTAATTTTCTAATAACTTCTAGAATAATTATTTTTAATACTAATTTCTAGTATTTATATAAATCTTATTTCTAATATCAAAATTTACAGGCTAATATTATTAGTTAACTATATAAATCTAAACTTATTAAATAGTCTATATATCTTTCTTTACTAACTTCTATATTTATTCTATACAGCGGGCCAGAGTTCAGGTTTATTATTAATTAATAATATCTATAATAGAGGTCTAGAAAGATATCTAATTAAAAAAAATATAAGACTTATATTTTTACTTAATTATAAAGGATAATAGTCCCGTGGATTCCTGGAGTAAGATTATAAAAATAAAATTAATTAATAATAAGAGTTCTAACCAGTTATCTTAATAATAATTTATAAAAGAAATAAGTTTTTATACTATATACTGGTTAACAATTTCAGTTTACCTATTAATTTAAAGATAATATATTATTAAAAACTTAAATTTTACTTATAATATATAATATAACTTATTCTAAAATTTTAACACAAATTATCTTTCTTAATTTAATATAATTATATTTAGAAATTTTAATTAAGAATATATATACTCTAGAAAGAGCTAGACCATGTCTTATATAAATATAATCTTTATATATAATATTAAAATAACTTACTTACTTAGCTGGTCTATTATAATAAATATAATATTAAAGTTATAGTAATTCTTTAGGAACATCTAAAAGTCTATTAATAAATACTATTCTAGATAGTCTAGGATTAGTAAAGATTATAAAAATCTTAAAAAAAAAATCTTATCTTATATTCTTCCATTTATAGATTAGATAGTTATTTAAATAATAATATATATCTTAGTTCTAAATATTTTAATAATATTAATATTTCATAAGATCCAGCATCTTTGTTTAGCCTAGATAAATAAATAATAATTAATAGTAGATTTTATCTAGTAATTAGGTATATAAATCTCTATTATCCAGGATTATTAAAAGATTATTAAAAAATATAAGTTTATTTTCTAAAATATATTTTTTTTTACTATAATAGACTTATTCCCGGTAAGACTCCAGGAAGATATAATTCTAATTAGCTATTAAAAAATAATTTATAACTTATAAGTATTCTTCCACGGAAATAAAAATTATTAGTAATTTAAAGATTAATAAAAGAAAATATACTCTATTTTCTAAATATTTTAAAGATAATAAGATTTACTTATAATATTATATTAGGATTTATTTATTTTTATTTTTATAAATTAATATATTTACTAAAATATTATACTTCCCAGGGCGGAATCAAATTAAGAAATAATATTAGAAAAAGAACTCAGCCCACTACGCTTAATAAATATTTAATTTTTTAGTAGTCATGAAATACTCTAAAGCTTAATAATTAATTAAAATATTAAAATAGTCTATATACTAGAATTCTTCTAGCTCTAGTTATTATTTCTCCAAGACACGAATAATTGCTAGTAACTTTTTATCATAAATATTATAATTATATTCTATAAAAAATATAGTCTTGAAATAATAAACTACTAGATACTAGACTTTATTTACTAGCTATAAAAATATCTCTATAATAACTCTATCAATAGTGTCCATCTTAATATAAATAAGAAGTATGGAATTATAGTAGGCTAGAATAAAAACTAAAACTAACATCTTTTTAAATATTTTAAAAGCTTTAGTATAAGTATAATCCTAGTTAAAGATAATATCTTTTTAAATTAATTATATTAAAGATTATACTATTTTATTATAAATTTTAATAAATCTTCAGTAGAAGTTATAAAAATCTAAAAATAATTAAATTCCTTATATAATTATTAGGATTATTTATTTAATAATAATAATAATCTTTATTAAATCTATCTAAATACTATTAATAACAATAATAAATCCTAAAAACTTAGTTTTTATAATATAGAACTCGCACTTATAAATAATAGTCTATAAATCTATAGTCTATAACTTCTTAAGTACTAAACATATATATAACTCATATTTAATTATATTATCACTATAAATCAATACATTATTAATATAAACTATAATAAACTTATCTAAGTATTCTATTAAAATTTTATTAATAAGTTATTAGAAGGCAGCGGGTCTATTAATAAATTTAAATAAGAAAATTTAATACTTAAATAAGTTATATTATATTTTAAAAATTATAAGATCTTCTAAAGC